ACTTGAAGTTTAAAACACAGAAATCAAGCTTATAATGACAAAGACATGACTCTTTCCTCTAATATGCATTTCTGTCAGTCAGTTTAACCTTCTGTCTATGTATAATGATGTCTGTATCCCAGTATAAACAAGTGTCTGTGTAAAAATGCTTTGAATTTATGTGTGTTGGCTACATTTTCAACATATCGCTCAGTGTTAGACTGTCTATCTCTAGAGTATATTTTTGCTTTTCTGTCTGACCTTCACCCACTATTCTGAGATCACTGTCTGGTATTCAGTATTGCCCAAATAAATGAATTCACACTCCATCCTGATAATATGGGACAATTTTATGCAGATTTGGTGGCCAGAGGAATTGTCAAACTTTTCCTAGAAATGAACAATTGCCAACGAGTAAAGTCTTACATACATACTTAAAATGATTAGCAATCTGCTGTGCATGGAAATGACAAGCCCCAAAAGTAATTTATTATTGAGGGCATACTATGGACCCCATGCCAAAAATTGCATGATAGATGATGATGATCTTGAGATAGCCGAAGACCTTCTTCGAAAGCTAGTCAGAAAACAATGCAATGGGTGACTTCGACATTCTTTTGACAACTAAAACTGTATTTCAATAATGACAAAGAGTTGATCCAAAGATTCAACTATGATAAAAATGAGAATGGATAAAATGTGAATAGCATGTGGTATAGAGCAGTAAGCCATAGAGTCAGCTAGAAGGGAAACAATCCTTGACTTAATTGGTTGCCCAAATATGAACGGCCATTAATTGAACCAATCAACATTCATCCATTTTGAAATGGATTTCGCATTTGTATAGTATTTAGTAGTTTTGTATTGTGAAGGAAGTTTGAAATCTGTATGGCATTCACTTGATTTGGTTCAGCATGCTTACCTAATTCAGGCTTATAGATGGTCACAGACATCAAACTGAATGGAACTTGGAGAGGATAGCCTTTCCTTTACTGGATATACACCAGTCATTAACAGGGAATGTCAGCTGTATTCATTTATATTAAGTTTGAAAGGAACAGGAAAGATTATAAAGCAGTATTATAGTGTTTGCTGTCATGCCTAGCTATTTTCTTAAACACCTAACCTGCTTAGATACAAGATTTTACACATTAAAAGTGTGTGTGTGTATCACAAACCCAGATGTCACAATCAGACACATTTTGTTGTTGCATTCCAAAGTATTCAGTACTGAGAATTTCAAAAACGCTGTATTCATTTTTGGGAGCCACTTGCCACCTGAGATACATCTAAATATAGTCCTGTATTAGGCACAAAGTTCATGCAAAACAGCAGACCTTATAAAAATGATAAACTAAATGGAGAATGTGCTTGAGCAGGTGTGGCACAGGTACCTTTACCATATTGATTAAGCAAGAGATGATTGGTAGGGTTTAGCAGGTTAAGAGAATGGGTGGACCCAGCCTTCTTGGAGGAAGTAGGAGTGCAACCAATCCTGAGAAAAAGATGTCTGAACCCGGAAGATATTAAACCAATACATTGGTGGCTCATGCCTCTTCCTGGGCAAGGTGCTTGAACAAGTGGTTGTCAAGCAATGTCAGGTTATCAAGGGTTCTGACTTTCAACTATAGCAGTTGTGCAGGCACTTGTCTCCAATTGGTGTACCTCAGAGAACAAGTAGATACAATAAAGAGCATCTCACAAGTTTGATGTCTCCTTATGCCTGCTCTGTTTGAAGACATCCTCTATGCCATATGGAGTCTATGGGAGTCTATGGGAAGGGCTGTCCATCTCCATCTAAATTTAAAGATAAAAGAAGAGCAGAATTTTCTATTAATTGGTAGCACAGCAGACTAAGCCGGGTCCACAGATCACCTAGCTGCAGTCTTACCAGCTATGGTAAAATGTTTTGCATTTCCATTTAAATTTATTATTTATAAATTTGCATCTATATCTGAAGTTTGTGTTTGCAAAATTTATGAGACTTTATTTACTCTCTCTCCCTATGAGAGAGTGAAAGAGATAGAGAAAACAGGTTTACATGATGCTTTTTCAATGGTTGTGCAATTCTGATGATGACACAGGTCCAGGGCAGACACCGACCTTTTTGACTTTTTATTATGATGGGAGACTTACACAGAAGATGAGTCAAACTTTCAGTTACTCTTCTCTCATAAACACAAAATAATTATTTCTCATTAATCTTGAGATATACAGTCAGCAGATGGTTAACAGTAGGTTCCTTATCAGTTAAGACTGTTTACATGTCTGCTACCTACCCTGGGTTTCTGGGCAGCAATAATTTAGCAAAGATTTATAGGTCTTTCCTTTGCTTCACAGTGTGCTGGGAGGGAATAGAAATGTGTAAGAGGTGCATTGCAGTGCATCAGTAGATTGAGGTATTCCTTAAAAAGCACAACATTCTGATGGCTGTTCTGTATGAAAACCTTCTATAAAATGTCCAAATTGAGTGTTATAAAATGACTTGAGAGATCCAATAAAGTTGCAAGCTTTAGCAGGCTTCTGAATTAGATTTATAGTCTACTGAAATATGGAATGTCCATCATTCTTCTTCTTCTAATCTCCCCAATGACCTTTTTGTATGTGAAAGTTTATTATCCTCTTTGTGCAAAAAAGGAAAAGTCAGTGTTTCCAAGGTAACTGAATATTAATAAAAGGACAAAATAATGTTGAATTTGTTTATATTTGAGTAATCTCATCTTCACTCAATTTTGTCTTAAAGATGGCCCTCTGATTTTCTCCCCTGTCTACCATATACATGTTCTAGATCTAACAGATTATGCTGCTACCTTGCTGTGCATTGTTTAGCTTCACTTAATATGGCTTTCCCCATGTACTTATAATTTATGCACGGAGATAATTTGGGAATCCATGCAGTCCAGGGTTTCTGTGTCTGCTGGATTGAAGAGCATCCTTCTCTTGAGAGCACAACATAATGAATGTTGATAGAACTCACACATTAACAGTACACTATTAGGCATGTCTACTCAGAAGTATGCCTTATCTCTACAGTGGTAGTCTAAATCTGAGGCTCCACCACCAAGATGAGGCGTAGGCAATCTGCTGCCCTTAAGATGTTTTGAACTACAGATTGATACACTTCAACTAGCATGGCCAGTGGTCTGAGATCAGCACAGGAGAGCAACCAGGCAGGGTCACCAAGCATAACTGTCTCCATGGCCTCTGCTGCTGAAGGCAATGCTGGTGAGATCCCATCTCCATGGCTGGGCATCAGGGAAGATAGGGAATGTGGAGATAGCCAATCAGAGCATGGCTGCAGCTGCCTCAGCAGTTACTAGGCAGAATGGGACAGTGAAAATACAGGCTGGAATGAGCCATAGCTGCTTTTGCCACCAAACTTTTGCCCAACTATGGAATGTGCTCCCCAGAGAGGTCCGCCTGGCACCGTCAAATGTTTTTCAGCGCCAGGTTAAGACCTTTTTATTTAATCAATATTTTAATATGTTTTAATATTGAATTTTATTATTGTATTTGCAGCCAGAGTGGGTCGTCAATTTATTAATGCTGTTAGCCATCCAGGGACGTTAGTAATTGAACGGCATACAATTTCATAAATAAATAAACTCACTGGCAGAAATGTAAAAACCACATGAAAATATTGCAACTGGAGTCACCCTTGATGATAAGCCCTGGTGAAGCATGGAAATCTTAGAACAAGCCCTTGTTTTTCCATGTGGTTTCATGGAAACCAAGCATGTGAGATTCACCAAGGATGCTGGGTTCACACACAATGACAAGCTATGCCTGCGTAGTTTCCAGCACAGCTTGTTGTTATGTGTGAATTCAGCCACTGAGTGTAAATGTTTGAACTATTCTCTGACATGAAAAAGAATGAACGGCCCCCTCCTTGTGTAGGGCTCTGTGTGCCCAATGGAGCCTTAGGTTGCAGGCAGTGCCAAATAGATCTGTGAATAGGCATTTCAGTCATGATAGAAAGATGGAAGCCAATGTTCAGAAGCAGTATAACAGATACTGGAGTCAAACAATAGGGATTGGCTTTCATGCTCTTCTGGGAACTTTTGGATGGATCTGGTTAGCTACTGTTGGAAAAAGAATACTGAGGTTAGAAGAATGTCTTAGACTTGTTGAGGTTGGTGTCTTTCTATACAAATGTGCATGCACTTAGTCATGCTTAGGGTAGTCCTATTGATTTCAATAACTTACATGCCCTGTTGATTTCAGCGGGTCTGTATCTAAGCATGACATATCTATATCCAATCCGTTTATATTTGTATACACACACAGACACACACCATAGTCCAGGGAAATCTGTGGGCCTGAAGTCATTGATGAATTCCAGCTCCCATCAGCCGCCGGTGACATGACCAAAGGTCAAGACTATGTAAGCTCGAGTCCAACAGCATGATTAAAGAGATGGATTATTGCGACATTGACTTTGCTCATATTCCTTTATAGAGCAAGATATTTATTGCTGCATTCCAATGCATTGCTTCACCTAAATCTGTTAAATGGCAATGGTGGGCTTTTCTACATAAGGTATTGCTGTTCCTTTCTTATGATTATTTATGGATTCTTTAGACATGACTCTCCAGTCTTGCTTCTATAACTAGAGTACTTCTGGAAAAGAAGCAGAGCAAAGAAATTGTGGTATTTAATTAGAAGAATGAAAGAAACTGCATTTTTGCTTTTCTATTTGTGCTACTTGGGTAGACCACAGTTGCCATCTAGAGGTCATGTAGAGGAAAAGCAGGAAAAGAATCTCCTTACGTAGTGCTTGGATCCCAATTCTACAAGAAAACTGAAACTAGATACAGTGGATTAATGAACACGTAGCAGCCTTGTTTAGAAAAGCCCACCAAGGGCAGAACATGGCGCTTTGTGGCCTTTAATAATTTCTGATCTGTTTGCTTGCTTCTCTTTGCTCCCTAGAAAGGCAGGAGAGATCTTTCTCCCCTCTGCCCGCCCTTCTTCTTCTTTTTTTAAAATTTGGTAATTGAAAACCTATCTTGTTCTTGCAGAATGGTTTTGCTGTTGTAAGGCCCCCAGGCCATCATGCTGAAGAGTCAACAGCCATGTAAGTACCAGGGAATATTGCCCATCTTGGAGCGCTAGGGTTACTGGCAATCACCTGCATTGTGCATGTCTCTGAGGAGCTCTAATTGTTAGCAGATGACTGAAAAGGCTTTCGAGGTACTCCAGAAGCAGATTTATGGTCTCAGAGATCATATAGCATTTTAAAAACACACGCACACACACACGCATGCACAAATGCCCTGAACATTATTTATAACTGTTTTCCTGACCGATGTGCTTTGTAAAATTTCTGTTCTTCTCTATTCCACAGGGGGTTCTGCTTTTTTAATTCGGTTGCAATTACTGCCAAATACTTGAGAGACAAGCTAAATATAGGCAAGATATTGATTGTAGATCTGGTATGTATTCTTGGCAAGCGCCATCATTTCAGTCCATATAGATAAAAGTTGGGAGGGGGGGAGGAAGAAAAAACTTCTGTATTTTTCTTTTATATGTTAGGCTTTCTTGCCTTTAATACTTAGAAGTAATAAAGGTGTGTGTTTTTCCTCTGAATTTGGGAACTCATTAAATCCAGGATGGCAGGAGGACTGAAACCATAAACATGTATGTTTCACTTTAATGGCGTTAACTGCAATTTTAATGAGAAGAAGGCGCAGATCAGGGTGACTTTTATGGTCCTTAAATGAATTGATACTTCCACTATTAAAATGACCCAACAAGTACCCAAGTTTACTTTTCCCTACAGAATATAAATTTGAAATAGTTAAATTATGTGGCTTTGGTTTGGTAACCAGTTTGGCTTTCCTGCTTAAGCTGATAATAACTTGGCCAGTTATGCAACTCAAATATTCTTAAAGCAAGTCAACAAGGGCTAATTTTTTTTCTAAGAGGTTTCCAAATCTTCTATATATCAATACAGGATGACTTTCATGCAGGAAAACTAATTTAATAACAACAAAAGTCAGCCTGTGTGGATTAGATTTATCTTTTACTGCATACTAGGGTTTCAAACAAATGGTTGGTTCAAATGCAGTTGTCATTTGGCATGTTGTCTATACATTCTGCTGGTGAATAATGAATTGAGCTTTGCCTCCTACTTAAGGACCAACTTCATACACAGCCTTAAGGAGAAGCTGGTGGTTGATTTATGAGTACCATTTTTGTTTTGCCTGCACTTCAGGAGGAGGTGTAATAAGTTGACTGAAAAAGCATAGACAGGAAATGAACCCTGGCATCTAAACCTAACCTGGTACATCTGCATTTAATTAATTTTTGCAGGTGATAAAAGATTTAAAGACAAAATAGGTTAAAGATTTTTTTACACTATGGACTTAATGGTTTAAAATTTATTCATATTGGCACTCATAATTAAATCTTAGTATTTAGGCCTTAGTATTTAGCACTTTTTCCTCTGGTGGAATATGTATAACAATATCAAAGATGGTGCAAGGGAACTATGCATTGAATCTGAATGCAACAATTTAGGATAATGTTCAAGAATAGTTGATGTTGTGTACAGTCAAGTGGGGGAAAGGGGACAAATAGTTTCCCGCAGTGTTTGGCAATTGACAGGTTAATCGCATAGTCCTGCTACGCTCAGTGGCATCCATAGCAGAATGAGCTGCCACAGAGTGTGGCTGAGACCCTATATGCAACCAGCAGCAGATGCAAGAGCACAGTAACGGCTATGGGGGGGAAAAACAACTGATGTGCTAACATTGACAGACAGGAAAATTCCTTGTCTTTGGCCACCTTTTGCATTTTTACCTGCCCTCCTATCCCCAAATCTGCATTAGCTATGCAACAGAAGCATAATTCAACAACTTTGGATGAACAACCCCATGTTGCCACTCAGTAATACCTGCCAACCACATGCTATGTACAGCCAGGCAGCTATAGAGAACTTACATGGCTCCTGGTACTGCCCATCATCCTTGGGACAGAATGGTTACTCCTAATAAGTATAGGAACTAATTCCGAAATTCCTGCCAGGCATAGGCTGTCACAACAGCTTGAAAACAGCTACTCTTTTGCCAGGCAAACAACCAGGGCCAGAGAAGGAAGAGGCATGCATGGAAAGGCCATGGATTCCCCTGCAGAAGGATTCAAATCCCACGGTGGGAGCTCTGCTGGGATTCATGCAACACAATTGTGCAAGTGCCTGTGTGTGGACCCCATGCCTGAGGGAGGACAGAAATTGCAAGTGGCAGATGAGAAGGGAACTATAGCAATTTAGCAGGAAAGAGCACTGCAACACGAAAGAGGAAACGTGGCTCTAAAGGTTGTAGTTAAATGATGGTTTGGAAGTGAAACATGCCTTTTTAGGCAATGATTTTAGATGTTGTAAGCCGAATAACCCAGACCTCCATTTCCACAGAACAACTCTGTGTCTATAGAGAAGAGAGATTCATAAATGGTGGCTTTCCAGGGATCCAGCCTTTGACACACCTTTTCCAGTCCTACAGGCAGTATTCAGTCTTGTCAGGGCTGGCATAGGCTTTTTGCTGCTTGAGATAGATCAGCAAATGGCACCCACCAACTCATCCTTTCACCAGCACCACCAGCCACTCCTCACCCTCTTAGGCAGCTGCAGTGACTGCTACTTGCTCCTCCTCTCTATCTCTACACCTGCCCCTGTCCATGGTTCAGCCATTCTGCCCCAGTTAGGCAATGGGGCAACTGGACAGGATAGTCTGCAAGAGTCCTGCCATGGTCAATTGCAAACCCTTCCCCAGGCTGAGGCATTGTGGGGGGGGGTGGGATGGAGGACTCTGGCCATAAAACAGCTGAAGACTCTTAGGCTAGTGTTTGGTTTACCCGCATTGCAGGAAGGAGGGAAGACCTTTATCCAGTCCACACAATACACCAGGCTTGCTTAAACCCATGATGAGCTGTGGCATGTGCCATGTGCCATTTTCAATATGTGATTGTCAATAAGATTATGGTGTGTCATCTGAATCTGGCCATGGGAGAGGGGTCTTATGTGAAGGTTAAATACTCCTCACATAATCCTATATCAAATCAAGGGCTATTTAATCATTGCATAATCCCTGAGGGCAGAGTTCTGCTGCTATATTGAGACCCCTGTGGCTCATAATGAGTTTAGTGTATTATCTGCAGCCATGATGTGCGGGTTCCTAGTGTTTCTATCTGATCCACAAATCAGGGAGTCTATAGAGGTCCCAGGGAAGCTCATTTGGCTGTGAGTTGCGGCTGCTTGCTGACTGGGCAAGGTACCCACTTGTGTGCTCTACCTTCCGTAGAGCTGAGGACAGAGTGGTGCAATCCATCTTGATATATGAGGTCACAGAACTTGAATTGCTTCTTGTATATTCATGGTATTGCACCATTCCATTATTGACTGAAAAATTAGTCTGAATCTTGTCCTCCAGTGTGCAGTTGTGTAAACCAAAAAGGAGGTGGTGAGAGTAGGGAAGTCTGGGACAGCCTCAGCTGCAGTGTGTCTGTATATGCATCCTGAGGAAAGATATCTGTATGCATCCCACCAGAGCAACAATATTGCAGTAGCTGTGTTGTCATCTTCTTCCACCAGCATTGCTCTGTTTTCTATTAGTAGAGGGGACCTTGGAATGATCCTTGCTTACGCAGATTATTTATTATTTATTTATTTAAAACATTTCTGTGTTTATAATATGGTATAATATGAGTACAGGATCACTTGGTGCCATGTTAAATTTCCTATTTAACTGCAGGGGTGGTGAGTTCTGTGTGCCATATAAACACCTCCTAAGCATCTTCTACGCTGGATTATCTAAACCCTCTTCATGCGTGATTCATGCGAAAGTGCCTCAATTGTAGAAAGACCTGAGGACACACATCCCCTTTGCTCTGCCCACAAGGGCCATGCATAGGCATAGGCATAGGCATCTGTGAGACCTCTATATGAAACTTTCATTAGATGTCTATGCCTTGTGCTTGAATACCAAAGGAGGGGCTGGGGAACTGTGTGACCTTGGGACATGGCTGGCAGCGTGGCCCCATGGCCGCTTCCTAAGTGTGATTCTCTTGCATTTGACTCTGAAGGGAACTCTGGAATAATGACCGTTCTTTGTTGCATACTGAAATTATCAAATGTGGATTGGGATTCCCAGTTGATCCATAAACATGCAGCTCCACAGTTCTTCCTCTGTTTAGGGCATCTCCCTCAGCATAACTCAAGCCCCTCATTCTGTAAAACATGGGCTCAGGGTCCCGGTCCAGAACAAAGAGTGGAGCAAACAGGGGATATTCTCTTTCAACTCTAAGGATAACATCAAAACAGGATAATGAATTGTATGGAAGTGGGTAATTTGCATCTATAGTCATGCACTTTATGTGCATATTTTAATGAAAATGGGAGATGTCAAGCTGCATTTGGGGCTTTTGTTGCAGTGATTTTTATTTTTATTTTTAATTTCTGAAATCCTTGCCAACAAATATAAAACATTTGAGTCAGCCTTGGAACTGTCTTATCTTCTAGATTTTGAGATAATGAGCATTGAAAAATAAACTGAAGGCGGATAGTTTCAACTTGCTTCCTTGTTTCTGACCCTTTCAGGTGAGAAACCTGTGTCCTTCCAGAAGTTGCTGCTCTCAAACTCCCATCAAATCCATTCAACATGGCCAGGGATCAAAGATGATGAGAGCTGTAGTCCAACAACATCTGGAGAGCTACAGGTTCTCCATCCCTCCTTGAGCTTTTACTATTCCTTTAAAAAATGTAAATTGCAATCTGGAAGGAATGTTTTGATGTTTACATGCTGAAAAACCAAACAGCATTAACTGCTGAGGATAGGATGCACATGTGTTCCTCATAATATGCTAAATAACTAAAATAACTATTAGAGTTCTCATGACTGTGACAGCGTTGGCTAGATTGTACACTAATCCAGCTAATGATCATGATGTGACCTATTTTAAAAAAAACAAAACAGAATAATTACGGCCCTAAAACAACAAACTAATGTACAATTAAGCATTTCAGAAAAATGAGTATAAACAGCATGGGAAGAGCATCTACGATTTGATTTAACATCATTTATGATGAGGGTCCAAACAACCTCTTGCCAGGTTCCTGGTAAAAAGTTGTAACACTTTCCTCACTTTCTACTTTCTCCCATCAATGGCTCTGTCTGCTGTGGAAAATTGTGCCCATTAATTGGTATCTTTAGCTACTTTATGTCCTATGTGTTACGGCCCCAAAGCCTATTCTTGTATATCCTTTAGAGACCAAAGATCTAACAAATTGCTTAGGCTGTTCCCTTATGCTGAGCTGATTTACATGTGATTAAAAGCTTCCATGGGTGAATTTCCCCACATGGCTTCTTGTTGCAGCTGCTGCCATTCTGAATATTTGAGCCACAACAGGGATGTGTTATAGCTTGTTGTGAACCCAGTG